CCTCCAAACAGCCAACCCCGCTCTAACAACCACCTGTCCAAGACAGTGACCTGTACCAACAACCGCTCCCCCTTGCGACCCCCCTTGTGCCCCCCCCCCCTTGCGTCCACCTTGCGTTTTTGCTATATGATGTTGTCCCTATCCAGAAAGACCATCTGTCTAAGATTACCTCTTTTCTCCTCGGCTGTGGATGGTCTTCGTAGAAAGGTTCGACTGTATTAGGACCAACGCTCATCCTTTGATACAACTTGTTTGTTTCTGAAAAAGAGCTGGAATCTCACGCACTCATTCACAGCTGGAGATTTTACCGAGTGGGCGTAGAGGCACGGGGTTTTTATATATAAGAGGGAATTCATGAGATGAAGGCACAGAATTATCTCTTAAGTATTGGCAAGACACCGCCTGAAACTGGTCTGCTTTTTCATTTTCGTTTCCCCCCAAAGCGCAAATTTCCCCCAAACACCTCGTCAGTTCACCGTCGCTGTAGCACGCGATGCGTGACGTCTTGAATCAGAGTCAGTACCTGTTCTGGTCTGGTGTGAACGCAGTCTCCGGGGAGGGTTCCCATCTTGTGTTCGAAACAGAAGTCGAGAGACGTATCAAGAAAGGTGTAGGCGTGAGTTGTTGGGAGAAACCCCCTTTGAAGTGAAGTCAATGGTATTATGTAGATTTAAGTGGTAAAGGGTTAATAGGCTGCATTTTGCTTGTCACTGATGTTGTTGTTTTTGTTGTTGCTGCTGCTGGTGTTTTCGTTGTGAAGAAGAACAAGAACAAGAACAAGAACAAGGAGAAGAACAAGAAGAAGAACAAAAAGAAGAAGATCAAAAATGATAATTATAACAGCAACAACAACAAGAACAAGCGGAATAGTGTGCAGAATAGGAGGAAGGAGAGTATAACAAGGAAGGAGATGGAAAAGAATAGAAAAGGAGGAGCAAATTGAGGAGACGCAAATTGAGATGGACACATTTGAAAGCAAACCAGATTATGATATACCATGTACAATGCACACAAAGTATGCTTTATTATAACATTGTCAAGTGAGTGCAAGATAAATATCCAAGTGCATCCAGTTTTATATGACATACAGTTTGCATAAAATCCATAACAGACGAAATGAGCAGAATATCATACAGGAGAAGGGGGATGAGGAAGAAGAGGAAGGTGAACAAGAAGGAGGTGGATGAGGAGGTGGGCAAAGAGGAGGACATGGGAGGAAGACGAGGGAACAGGACGAAGGAGGAAAATAAGGAGGTGGAAGAGGGAGGAGGACGAAGGAAAATAATGAAGAGAAGGGGGGCGAAGGGGTTTGACGAGGGTGAGACAAAGGAGAATGAGTAGGACGGAATTTATATTATCAATAACTCGAATAGTAGTAAAAGTTTTGACGATAATATCAGCTTTAAAAGAATCAGTACGCAGCCAGTGGAGTGGACTATATTTACTTTCCATAATGCCAGGGTTTTCTTTGTAGGAGATAATAGTAAAGTAACAGGCAATGAGCCTGTGTGATATTATTGATGGCAGATTCCTGACAGGGAGGAATGGGCCGCTGCCAGGAACAAAGCGTATCTGTGCGCGTCCCGTCGGCAGAAATACCAGGAACCAACTCGGGAACAGTGAAAATATCGCACTTCCAAGGCAGTTGTCCAGATTTTTGTCTTAAGAGCCCGATTTTCGTTCTGGCAACGAGCTTAGAGTAAAATTCCTGCTTGTAAACCGAAGAAATAAGAGGATTAGATAGAAAAAATATTCTCTCTCTCTCTCTCTCTCTCTCTCTTTCTCTCTTTCTCTCTCTCTCTGTCTCTCTCTCCCTCTCCCTCTCCCTCTCTCTCTGTGTCTCTCGATTGCTCGCTCGCTCTGGACTCCAATGGCCTTGGCAGAGGTAATAGGTACTCCCCCCTACACTCGCTGTTGCTATAAGGTTCCTGAACAGGCTTTGGTTTCTTCGTGGGCGTATTCTTGATTTTTGTCTGATTCTTGTTGCTTTGCAAGCTCACTTTAGTTTTGGTGGGATTAGAAAACGCCATGTGTAAATCTAGTTTCGGCACTCTCCGTCTGTTGTTTTTGTTCGTTTGTCTTTCATTTCTGCAGCTCGAAATGGTTATTGCAATATCGATGTTCTTCTCTTTGTTTTAAACAACTATCTTGAATAATTTGGTGTTCACATTTCTGCCCATCTTCCCGTTCAAACTCGTTCTTGACATGGAGTTGAAGGAAGGAACGTTTGATGATGTAAACTGTAGTGTCTACAAAACAGGATTTCTAAAACAGTAAAGCTACTGTGGCATTCATCGAGGTTACGACTTGGAGAATTAAGTCATAATTTTCTCACTTCTTCAAAATATTTGCCCTGTTTCAGAATTGTTTCGGTTTGCTGTTAATTATAGAGAGCTCGTGGCATACGCCAGCTTTCCAGATCGCACTTACAAGAGATTATCTTGTTTGAACGCATTAACAGAATTGCACTCCGCAGCAACGGTGTACATTTGCGGGAACTGGCGGGAACACGAAACCTCGTTTTGGTTTCCTTGATACGTCTATCTCACAAAAACGGCCAAGGGTGTTATTGCGTCATCGTTAAATGAGCGTTAAAATCGGACGTGATGCAAGACTATATTATCTATGTGGATTCTATCTGATTATAAGGGCCGACGAAGCAGGGGTTTACGTCAGCATTGCTTGAACTGTACTTAACCGTCAACGTACACTGACGTCGCAGTTTATTGGTTTACGAAGAGCGAAAGTTTTGCTCACTGATAATTATCAGTATGGCTCTAGAACCGAACCGGCACGTACGTTTTACTCGAATACTGACTGATGGTTTTACAATCTTTTGCGTTCCACATTTGAGGCACAATCAGCATTATGAGCTGGCAGATGGAGGAAAAGAGGGACTGACTGGGTTGTTGAAGGGCAGGAGGAGAGAGCAGGTAGGGAGGTTGTCGAGTAACGGATGAAATGTGGAGGGTTACTGCGTAATTTTAAATTGTGGTCATGATAACTCGGGGAGGGGTGGGGTTGGTTGGGG